ACTCCAGTCCCAGGGGACCCAATGCCCTTTTCTGACCTCCAAAGGCACTGCATGCAGGTGGTGCACAGACACATGCAAAGGCAAGTGGATCTCTGTGAGTTTGAGGCCAGCCTGGAATACAAATCGAGTTCCAGGACAGCCGGGACTGTTACACAGAGAAACCCTGTCTTGAAAAACAAAAACAAAAGAAAAAGAAAAAAAGCCAACCAAATCAAAAGGAGACAAATGTCTACAAAAATACCACTTAATTCATTCTGTGTTGGCCACCTACTCCTGGGCATGAGGCCTACCCTGAAGTGTGGATAATGTACCTATTAGATACCCTGTATATTAAGAATGGTTTCAAGTTGGCTATAGTGTCATTTCATAGCCTACAATACCAGCACTCAGGAAGCAGACAGGATAGAGGTAGGCTAGCCTGGGCTGGATAGTAAAAACCCACTCAACAAAACAAAATCCAACCCTTTTCATTGGATGATGAGATTATAGATTGTTTTGAAGTTTTCTCCAACTAATTTCTGGTGTTTTTATTTCCTCTAACTTTGTGTAATCTTCTCACATACGCTTATACATTAATATTCAGCCAAAGACTGGAAGAAGTGCATGGGAAAGTGCGTCCCCAGTACTCTGCCACATGGACAGTCTATCTGCTCATCCATCTTACTGAGACTTAGAGGCTATTGTTCCTCAGTCCCTAACCTGGATATACTCTCCAGCTGCAAACTGGCACAGTTGCAGAATAACCTCATTACTTTTCCATCTTTTCTTGTTTGCCTATTATACATGGTCTTAAAACTTGTTTCATGTGTTTTGTTGATTTTTCTAGTTGTGTAAAGCATGAGGATTATTTGATTCCTGATACCAACATGGCTAGAAGCAGAAATCTACATTTACTGTCATAGTTTATCTAAAGATTTTAATGCTTTTCCTACTTGGGCTGGTGAGGTGGCTCAATGGGTAATGAGGACAGGAGTTCTACTCTCCAGCAGGTGGCATTGTACCCCGCCTATAATCACAGTCATGGGAGGCAGAGACAGAAAGTAATGAGTTCTAGGTTCAAGTGAGAGACCCTGACTCAGTATATAAGGTAGAGAACAATAGAGAAGGATGACAAACATCAGCCTCTGGTTTCTGCACATATGTGTGCACACATGTACACACAAAAAATTAAATATTTTCCTACTCAGGCCGTGAGCTTGTAGTGAGATCCTCTGTATTTTTGTGTTTTGTTTGGGACAGGGTCTCACTATGTAGCCCTGGCCAGCCTAGAACATGCTGGCCTTGAACTATAGTGATCCACTAGCTTTTGCCTCCCAAGTGCTGGCATTAGAGGGATGCACCACAACACTCCAGCTGATCAATATATCTCTATCGTGTGTGTGTGTGTGTGTGTGTGTGTGTGTGTGTGTGTGTGTGTGTGTGTGTGTGTGTGTGTAGGCCAAATATCAAACTCAAATGTCAATCTTTAGGAAATGTATTGTTTGTATTTGAGTGTGGGCATGTACACTGTGGTGTATGGGTGGAGGTCAGAGGACAATCTGTTGTTGATGTTCTGCAGGCAGTATGTAACGCCTTGCTGTAAGAATGCTGGGATTACAGCTGTGTGCCACAGCATCCAGATTTTCTACATGGAATCCAGGGATCAAACTCAGGCCATCAGACTTGCTCAGCTTTACCTTACTTTTTTCCTGCTGTGCCATCTTGCTGTCCCCACTGTTTTTTATGAGACAGGGTCTCTTAGTGACCTAGGGCTTACCCATTAGGATAGGCTAGACCAGCTGGCCAGTGAGTTCCAAGGATCTCTTATGCCTTCCAGTTCGAGTTTACAGTGAACATCATCTCGTCTTTTTTTTGTTTTGTTTTGTTTTGTTGTTGTTGTTGTTGTTTTAACTCAGTTTTCATGCTTGTGCTGCAGGTACTTTCCTTTTCTCCTTTTTTATTGATAAGGTTTCAGTATGCATCTTGAGTTGATCTCACCTGTGGCAGACTTCCTGCTTTAGCCTCTCAAGTGCTGGGGTTACAGGGCGCACAACCACACCTGACAATACTTTCTTTAAAACATTTGTTTTTCCTTTGGGCTGAAGAGACAGCTCAGAAGTTAAGAGCACTTGTTGCTCTTGCAGAAGATCTGGGTTCTGTTCCCAGTTCCCACATGGTGGCTCACAACCATCCATAACTCTAGTTTCAGGGAAGTCAACACCCTTTTCTGACTTCCAAGAGCATCAGGTATGCACATGGTATACATGCATAGATGCTGGCAAAACACTCATAAAATAAATCTAAAGGGGTTTTGTTTATTTGTTTCTGTGTGGGGCTAGAGAAATGGCTCAGCAGTTAAAGAGCACTGCTGCTCTTAGGGAGGATTTGTGTTCAGTTCTCAGCTATCACATGGGGCCACACAGCCATCTAAAACTTTAGTTTCAGGGGATTGATTCCCTCTCTGGCCTTCATTGGCACCAGAAACACATATGGTTCACAGACATACATGCACACACAAACACTCATATACATAATAATGAAGTAATAATAAAAGTAATAATAAAACTGCAGCTCAAGATTTAATTTTCCCCTATATAATCTTCTTACCTACACATGATAAGAGTTTCTCTTTTTTGATGAAAGTTTGATTTCTTTCTTTACCACTCCAGCACTATTTACCTATTCTTTCTTTGACATAGACCTCTAGTATGTTGGTAAATATGTGACACAGAGAAACCCTGTATCAAAAAACCAACAAATAAATAATTCTATTTTCAATAAAAAATAAAAAAAAAAAATGGGGCTGGAGAGATGGCTCAGAAGTTAAGAGCACTGACTGCTCTTTCAGAGGTCCTGAGTTCAATTCCCAGCAACCACATGGTGGCTCCCAACCATCCGTAATATGAGATCTGGTGCCCTCTTCTGGTGTGCAGATATACATGGAAGCAGAATGTTGTATACATAATAAATAAATAAAATCTTTAAAAAAAATAAAACTTTTAGAAGCGCATAAGAATTCCAGTTCCTCCAAATCCTCAACACTAGTTATTTTCTGTTCTTTTGATAGTGGCATTATAAGGTGTGTGAGGTGATATCATTGTAGCTTCCGTGTTTCTCTAGATGATGTTGAGTTTCTTTTCATGTTTGTTGGACAAGCTGTGTGTCTTTTTCTTTTTAAGATTTATTTATTATGTGTAGAGTGTTTGGCCTGCATGTATGCCTACAGTCCAGAAGAAGACACCAAATCTCATTACAGATGGTTGTGAGCCACCATGTGGTTGCTGGGAATTGAACTCAGGACCTCTGGAAGAGCAGTCAGTGCTCTTAACCTCTGAGCCATCTCTCCAGCCCCCATCCTTCCCTTTCTTTACCTTCTGAATAGTTCAACCCAAAATTATTAGGAAGAGGCAAGTAAGAGAGACATTGTTTACACAGCAGGGAGGCCACAATGGACTGGGACCAACTTCTGGAGTCCATTAAATTGGGATGGATGTTGGTACAGGTAGTATCAGAATGGTAGCTTAGCAACAGAATCAGGGCCCAAACAGGGTAAAGAGGCCATTCAACAGGTATGAGAGAGGGATGGGGGCAAGTGGTGATGTCTTGGAATAGTGAAACCTGATCAACTAGTGGGAACAGTAGATTGTCTTACTAGCAGCAAAGGCTTAGCAGACAATGGATACTGGGTTATAATGTTCTCACAGCTGGGAGTGGTAGCATGTGCCTTTAATTTTAATCAAAGCAGAGGTAGGCAGATCTCTGTGAGGCCAGCCAGGGCTACGTTGTGAGACCCTGCCTTAAAAACAAAACAGAACCAAAAAAAAAAAAAAAAAAAAAAAAAACAGAGCATGCCAGTATGTTAAGTCTGAAGACAGTTAAGTGCTTGCTATATTGGTGACCTTGTTAAAGCTTAGACTCTGGATTGTAGCAGTATAAGGAGGACAAAGTGAAGAAGGATCTTCTGAGTACACCAAATTTTTAAAACAGTGCTTGATATATAATCAGCTTGCTTCAGCTCTTATTGTATATGTTATTTTATTTGAGACAGTCTATTAGCCCTGACTATCCTGGAATTTACTATGTAGACCAGGCTGGCCTTAAACTCAGAGATCTGCCTGTCTCTGCCTATAGGGTAGTGAGTTAAAGGCGTGTTCCTATGCCTGTTTTATTTATTTATTCATTCATTCATTTATTTATTTATTTATTTATTTATATGTGTGTCCATGTGTCTTTATGAGTGTATGCCACGTGTATGGGAGTGCTTGTGGAGGCCAGAAGAGGGCATTAGATCCCTTGGAACTGGAGTTACGGGCCATTTGAGGCATCCTATGTGGGTGATAGGACCTGAACTCTAGTCCTCTAGAAGAGCTGTAGGTGCTCTTAACCACTAAGCCATCTCTCTAGCCTCTATAAAAAGTGCTTAATAAGGTTAAGCCACAGGTGTTACTCTCCTCCCCTTTTAATTTGTAGATCATGTGTGTAGTTGGGGTCAAACTCAGGGCCTTGTGCCTACTAGTGCTCTAACACTTGCTGTACCTCCAGGCTCTCACAGTTGTGTCATCACTGCCTAAAGTGTTTGGAAGGCAGAATCACAGATCACTTCCTTCCCTCCAAGCCCCACCACTTTTTTGAGCTCCCTCTTCTAAAAAAAGAGCACACTGTGATTTCCAGGGACTGAATTTAAGGGGTAAATGTGATAAAGTGGGAGAGTGTGAGGGAGTTTTTTTTTGGTGGGGTTAATACATTTCTGAATCTTAATTTTGGGGATGGGCAGGCTATTTAACGTCTGTTTGTGTTGAAATTCAAAGAAATGTGTACCAGAGCCAGTTATGTTTACTACCTCTTAATTGAAAATATGAAAGTCAAAATAAAGCCTTAAAAAATAAAGAGTACTTTAGTGCCATTTAGTCAGTATCTAAGCTGACCTTGGTGTTTCTGCCTTAGCGCTGTTTGTGTGCCCAGGCCTGGTTCCTCACTTGTGGCCCATCACCACTCACTGGCTTTTTCCTTCCTCATATTAGATTGGAGCTGGAGGAAGCATCACTGGGCTGAAGTTTAGCCATCTCAATTCCAATCAGTTTTTTGCTTCCTCAATGGAGGGAACAACCAGGCTGCAGGACTTTAAAGGCAACACTCTCCGAGTTTATACCAGCTCAAACTCTTGCAAGTGAGTAGTTTAACTAGTAAGGGAAATGGCTTCCATGCTCTAGATGCAGTTCTGCAGAGGACATACCCAGGCCCATTTCTTTTACTCAGGCACAGGGAAGACAGGGGTATTAGCCACTTTGTACCACTCCTTTTCTTCCTTAGACTGGCTGCTCTGACTTTGGTCCAAATGGGTCATTGCACTAGGAAAGTGTCCTGGATCCTCAGCTCTCCCCTGGAGGGAAGGGTTTAATCACTTCTGTAAGTCATGTCCATACTGAACTAGGCCTTTACTTTCACTGGATAAGTCAACAGGGCATTTGTTTAGAAAGAAAGGCATTACAAAGTAGAGCAGGAATTAAGAACTGAAGTTTAGCCATGTGTGGTTGGCTCACACCTTTAATGCCAGCACTGAGAGGCGGGGGCTGGTGAATTACTATGAGTTCAAGGTCAGTCAGGGCCTGTCTTAGAAAGGAGAGAAAGAAATGCAATTTCTTCCATTTTCTGGTGTATAATGGCCATACCGTTTCCTTGGTGGAAATGTTAATTGGTGGAAATGAAGAACCCTTTCAGAACAAGTAGCTGGAGAAATTACAAATGCAAGTCACTGTTTCTAACCAGAGTCACGGTTCTATAAATGAGTGAGGGGGTGCAGTGGGCCTAACTAGCTGCAGTGTTGTTCTGGGCAGCCCCGTGAGGCTGAGAAGCACACCATCAAGAGTGGGGACTGGCTAGACTTAGTGTTCTCCTTAGGCTGTGAATCAGGGCCTCTTCTCAGTCTCTTTATTCTCACATAGCTCTCAAGAGGAAAGGTTTCTGGTTGCATTTGATTTTTTTCCCTAAATGCTCAGAAGCAGGCAGATGTTCACTTCTAGCCATCTGTGAGGAGCAGAGCTGGGCGTTCCTGTTTGGTTTGTCAACTCCTTTGGCCCAAAGAGTGAAGAGTAATGAGTGTGAGAACAGTAAATAAGGCCTCTTCAGAACCTAGGCTGTGGAGAGCCAGCTAGCCTTTGGATTTGCTTTACTACTCTAGGTTTGGCTGTTCCAGGGACTAGCTGAAGATTCTGGGCCCAGCAATAACTGGATAAGTTTCTGAGTTCTATCACCCTCACCCCTTCTTTTCTGCATGGTAGCCAAGGCTAAGTGCCCTTCTCTGGAACTTTATAGCAAGACAATTACTCATGATTCAACAAATATTTTTTGAATGCCTGTTAAGATACTGGAGCTGCAAGTGACTAGACAGACCTATCTCAGCCTCACAGCACCCTCTCCCTCTAGGGTCTGGTTTTGCAGCCTTGATGTTTCTGCCAAGAGCCAAGTGGTGGTCACAGGAGACAATGTGGGACACGTGATCCTACTGCACACAGATGGCAAGCAGGTGGGTACTATGTGGCCCATTCCCGTCCCCCAACCCCCCTTTTGGTTCTGTGTCTCCACCTGAACCAGACTTTTCTCTACAGCTTTGGAATCTCAGACTACACAAAAAGAAAGTAGCCCACGTGGCCCTGAATCCCTGCTGTGATTGGCTTCTGGCCACAGCCTCCGTAGATCAAACAGTGAAAATCTGGGACCTGCGCCAAATTAAAAGCAAAACCAGCTTCCTCTACTCACTGCCTCACAGGCATGCTGTCAATGCAGGTGTGACATCCCAAACCTCATCTTTTTTATGAACCCTGTCTTTGTCGTACTAGCCCCCAGCTCAATCCTTACATCTACTAAGCTGATGTCTAGGACCGTTTCTGGCTCTGGCTGCTCCATCGACGGTTGAGTTTCTATACTATTTTTGTTCATAGTGCAGATTGGCCCCTCCTACCTTTACCTAGAGGGACTGGGACTTCAGAAGGTCAGGATACCAGGGAATAAGGGTTCCTTTAGCTTAAGGGCTTTTCACTTTGTCAGCCTGTTTTAGCCCGGATGGAGCCCGGCTCCTGACTACCGACCAGAACAATGAGATTCGGGTTTACTCTGCCTCCCAGTGGGACAGCCCCCTGAGCCTGATCTCCCACCCTCACCGTCACTTTCAGCACCTCACACCCATCAAGGTGAGTGGCGAGAGGAAGGGGTCTGTCCAAGTTGGGGAGAGAGGGTCACATATGCAGCCTGCAATCTCAGATACTGTCTTTCCCTGACACAAAAAAAGTCCTTTAATCCTTTGGCTCTATCTGCTCTTTATATCCCATTTCTGTAATTCCACTGAGAGTTATCTTTTTGAGGTAGGGTCTTACTATAATAGCCCTGGCTGGCCTGGAACTTGTTCCATAGATCAAGCTAGTCCTGACCTAATAGAGATCACCTGCTTCTGTCTCCCAAGCACCACCATCACACCAATCACCCCACTGAGTTTTCTTAGTATATCTGATAAGCTAATTTCCTAAGCTTTTCATGCCAGTATTGATCTTACTGTGGGCATTTTCTATTAACTTAATTAACCCTTGTTCTGCCCTCTGTTTCAGTTACCCATGTATGCAGCTGACCCATTAACCAACCTAACCTTGGATTATCTTCCAGGTTTAAGTGGTTCCTATAGAAATAAGACCCTTAGTTTCCCAATTTAGACCTCGGTTTCATCTGTAAGAGAAAATAGTATATAACTGATAGGGTGTTTTGAGGATGAATCAGGATATATAAAACACTGGACACCATGCCTAGCACTTGGTAAGTACTTAATAAACAACTTAGTATCCCACATACTTCAGATCAAACCCCAAATAAACAATATTAAGAATTCTTCTACTCAGAAGGCATAGGCAGGAGATCTCTATGAGTTCGAGGCCAGCCCGGTCTACAGTGTTCCAGAACAGACAAGGGTACACACAGAAACCCTGTCTTGAAACAAATGAACAAACAACAAAACAACAACAACAAAAAAAAAACAAAAAATCTTTTGAAACTAGGTATTGTGGCATATGCCTTAAATCTCAGCGATTGGGAGGCAGAAGCAGGTAGATCTATATGAGTTCAAAGCCATCCTGGCCTATATATTGAGATCCTGTCACACACACACACACACACACACACACACACACACACACACGGATTTTTCTTGGGATATTGCTTAGAGGTAGAGTACCTACATATAGCATGCACAATGCCCTGGAGGGGGGGACACATGAAAATATCAGGTGTAGTGGTACATACTGGTAATCCTAACATCTTGTGGGTAGAAGCAAGGAGATCAGGAGTTCAAAGCCAGTTATTGCTCTCAATAGGCTGTGTCCTCATCTATCCCATCATGTCCAGTGATGCTAATGTCTACCTGTGATTTTTTTTTTTTGCAACTACTTCTAAGCCACTGTATGTACCAATTCTTCTCTTAAATATTTATTTAATGTGTGTGGATGGATGTTTTATCTGCATGAATGTCTGTATACCATGTGCATGCCTGGTTTCCTTAGAGATCAGATGCCATGGGATCCCCTGGGATGGGAGTTACAAATGGCTGTGAGCTGACATTGTAGGTGCTAGGAAAACTATGTCTTCTGGAAGAGCAGCCAGTGTTCTCAATCATTGAGTGTCTCTCTAGTCCATTCGTCTCTCCCTCTTCTTTTGATCTTGTCTTCCTTCAAAACTGCCTTGAAGCCATACACGGAGCACACACCTATAAACCTAGCACTTTGGGTTGAGGGAGGATTGCAGGTTTAAGAATTGCCTGGGTTATACAGTACAACCCCTGTTTCAAAAAATCAAGAACTGTTCTGAAATTAGGAAAAGGCTATCCAATTCTGTCTCATCAATAACTTCGAGATTTGTTTTGAATAATGTGAACCAATGAATGCGGTTTTTTTCCCTTTCCTCTTCCCACTGGGACTTTACACCCAAGTCTTTGTTGTGTGGATAGAGGATTGGTAGTAGAGTCACTTCAGAACCTAAGTCCTATTTGGTATTGTTTACTAGAGGCTTTTTTGCTTTGTTGTAGGTTCATCTCTTAGGTTAAGGTCTTAACAAAGCTGATGTGAAAATGTTTAAGGGCCAGGTTTTCAGTGGGTAAAGTCCTTGCCTAGCATGCACAAGGCCCCAGGTTCAGTCCCCAGAATTGCAAAAAAACAGACAAAACAGCAACAACAAAACAAAAATGCCCAAGTTGGTATGATCTTAAGAAAATGCAGGAAGCCAGGCAGTGGTGGCGCACGCCTTTAATCCCAGCACTCGGGAGGCAGAGGCAGGTGGATCTCTGTGAGTTCGAGACCAGCCTGGTCTACAAGAGCTAGTTCCAGGACAGCCTCCAAAGCCACAGAGAGACCCTGTCTCAAAAAAAACAAAAAACAAACAAACAAAAAAAACCAAACCAAAACCCCACTTATTGTGTGTGTGCCTGCACACTCATGCCACAATGGGCAAAGTGGTCAGAGTTGGTTTTGCCCTCTCACCACATAGGCCCAAGGGGATCAAACTCAGTTGTATCAGGTTTGGTTGGGGTCAAATGTCTTTATCTGCTGAGTCATCTAGCCAGCCCTTATGTTTGTTTTATATGCAGTATTGGGTTCTTTTTTTTTTTTTTAAAGAATTTATTTATTGTGTATACAACAGTCTACTTCCATGTATATCTGCACACCAGAAGAGGGCACCAGATCTCTAACGGATGGTTGTGAGCCACTATGTGGTTGCTGGGAATTGAACTCAGGACCTCTGGAAGAGCAGTCAGTGCTCTTAACCTCTGAGCCATCTATCTCTCCAGCAGAATTGGGTTCTTCTTAGCCTATTAGTGGTTAAGAAAATATTGGAAAATATGTACATACATATACACATATGTATATATATATTACATACAACTGGTGTGTGTGTGTGTTTGTGTGCCCGTGGGCATGAATGATGCTGGGATCAAACCCACAGCCTTGTGGGTGTTATGTAAGTGCTTTGCCGAAGAGCTGGATATCCAGTCCTTAAAGAATATTTTGGCAGGCCATTGGTGGTGCATGCCTTTAATTCCTGCACTTGGGAGGCAGAGGCAGGTGGATCTCTGTGAGTTTGAGGCCAGCCTGGTCCACAGAGTGAGTGCCAGGATAGGCTCCAAAGCTACACAAAGAAACCCTGTCTCAAAAACCAAAACAAACAAACAAAAAATACTTTTTCGTGTGTGAAAGCCACAGGTTGACATCAGGTGTCTTCCTCAATTGTTCCCCACTTATTCTGGAGACAGGGTCTCTCACTGAACCTGGAACTCACTGATTGGCTGGACTAGATGGTTAGCAAGTTCCAGGTATCTTGTCTCCAATCCCAGCTCCAATCCAGCTGGGATTACAGGTATATCATGACAAGATTTTTATGTGGGTGCTGGGAATCCAAACTCAGGCCTGTCTTTGTAGCAAGCCCATTGCCAACTGAGCCATCTTCCCTGGCTTCAAGAATACCAATGTCTCTTTACATTCTGACTTGACCTCTCCATTTCCTAGGCAACCTGGCATCCACGGCACAACCTCATTGTTGTGGGCCGATACCCAGATCCTAATCTCAAAAGTTGTGTTCCCTATGAACTAAGGACAATAGATGTGTTTGATGGAAGCTCGGGGAAGATGATGTGCCAGCTTTATGATCCAGGATATTCTGGTATCACTTCGGTGAGACTTGGACCCTCAGTGATGGGAGGAAGCAGGGAGTTGAGCTACATTTCCGATGAGAATTAATCCCCTCTCTACTGCCTTTACCCCAACTTCACACTGATATTCTTACCTCTGCAGCTCAATGAGTTCAACCCAATGGGGGACACACTGGCCTCCGCTATGGGTGAGTAGAAACAACTGTATCTCAGACTAAGTGTGACCCTATCCCTAGGTTTCATAGGAGGTTAAATCCACCCTAGCCTGGCCCTATTCATTCCAGGGCAGTAGGCAGTAAAGTTATCTGAGAGACAGTGGTCTCTGGGCCAGATCACACATCTGGCTTTATTTTGGTCATGACAATGTCACAATGTCAGGTTACTGTCCAGTCTGCTAGCTCCCCATAGCAGCCCCAAGCTCTGAGACTAGTAACAGAAGGTGTCAGTCAGGCTTCTTGTTTCTTCCAGGTTACCATATTCTCATTTGGAGGCAAGAGGAAGCCAGGTCATAGAAAGATTATGAATACCTGGACCCCACAAATGGGAAGAAGTTCTGTGAGAAGAGGCAGCTATTTGTTAAGGGACCAGAAGTTCTCAGCTCTCAAGGTTGGAGGAGGGACACTTGTGGCATGGATACTGTGCAACTAAGATACTGGCATGTTACTGCTCTAGATTTTGCTCCAGAAACGAAGAGAAAACCACTGCACTAAGAGTCCCTGCTATGTTTAGCCCAGAGCCAAGTTTGTCCTAGAGCCAAGGTACTTTTCTTTTTTCTAATATGTGGTAGCAGAATAACCAGGGAATTTTTTAAAATTTATGTTCAATCTTGACATAGCCAATAAAAGCTTATCCTTTGTACACCAACTAAAAAACCCAAAAGCCACCTGGGCTTCTGAGCAGACCTAGTATAACCTGGTAAGAGTGCTCCTTGGATGTCAAACGGGAGAAAAGAAAGGCACAGAGCCAGCACTCACAGTCAAACCTTCATTTCCTCGGAGTCACTTCAGCCCTATTTTGGGCCACAGTTAAGAAGTCCAGTTCACCACCTGCATTTACTTCTGGTCCCTGAAGAACCCAGCCCAGCTGAGGGAGTCACTTCATGATGTGTTCCTCTCCTGCCTGTGTCCTCCCACTTACTCAGGTACAGTACAAATATCTTTCAGACCTGCCTGAGGCACCTGCTTAAGCCAAGGGTTGACACTAACAGTAGCTTCAGCCACAGGGAAACTTTGCTGTTGGATGATCCAGTTCCTCGATAGCCACATTTTATGCTCCCAGTGATTTGTAGTTTTTTGCCTCTAAAAAAGTATCAAGGGACAATGTCCTCTAAGCCATTTGCCAAAGATATGGGCTAGAAGAAGACAAAGAACAAGGCTTGGTGGAAGAGCAAGGCAGGTCAAGTACCGGCTTCTTCAGTTTTTTCTTTTTTTATCCCAGGTCCTGAGTGAAGCCTGAATGCTAGTCTGTATCTCAGGTCCTTAGGGAGTATAGAAGAGGCAAATCCCATTTGGAGAAAGCCAGTGTCCAACACAGCACATGGTAAACATCAGGCATGTAGATGGTGAGTCACAGGTGTCATGCGTCCAGCTGAGCCTCACTCATTCATCTGGGCTTAGGTAATCAGGGAGGCTAAGCCCAGGGACTCCTGCCCATGGGCTGGGATCAGCAATAGTCAGGAGCAAGGACTCAGCCCACCTCCCCTAGGAGGCAGAGGGAAGGGGACTGAGTGGTTGTCAAGCATGGTCTTCCCTGTCTGCCACATGGTGGTAGCCAGGAGGCTGAGCCTGCATCCGGAAGAGGACAGTGAGGAGCAATACTATTAGAAGGAAGAGGATGGAGCCACAGACAGCCAAGGCCACAATCACCTCTGGGTAGGGGAGGGGAAAAGAAAGATAACATTAGTATTCATCCAACAAATACACAGCATAGCACCACTCCATGCCAGGTACTGTTTTGACAAAACATGAATATACAAAGGTGGTCAAGACATATCTGCTCTTAAGGCATTTACATTCTAGAGAAGAGATCCAGTAAACAAGCATCTGGTGGTAATGACACCTTAGTGTTGCTATATGAGCAAGATAAGTCACTCAGAAATCGCCGAGGAGACAGAACAGAGACCTGGGGTCAAGAAGTAAAACAAATCCAAGAGTAGAGTGCCATGGGGTAGGGGTAGGAGGACAAGTAAGTACAAAAGGCCCTGATACCAAAATAGGATTGGGGTTCTGGATTCAGCAAGAAAATATCATTGGAGCAGAGTAAGCAAGGGGCACTAGGAAATAGGAGATGAACCAGACCAAATAGAGGCTGGGTGGTCATGGCAGAGACTTTGGGGGTTTTGTGTGTGATTAACACACAGAATTAAACAAACAAACAAAAATGTCCCATATAACCCAGACTGTTTTGGAACTGGCTATGTAGCAGAGGATGACCTTGAACTTTGAACCCTCCTCTCTCCGCCTGAGTACTGGAATTAAAGGTGTATACCACCACACCCAGTTTATGCAGTGCTGGGGATTGAAGTCAGGAATTCTTCCATGTGTGCTAGACAAGTGCTCTTTCTACCAACTGCACTACACCTCTAGCCTCCATTTATATTTCTTAAGAAATGAACTCTGCTGTGTTGAGACTGGTAGGGACAAGAATAGAATCAGAATGAACGTTAGGCTTTTGAGCAGTTCAGGCAAGAACTGACAGTGTTAGACTGGAGAGGCAAGAACATAGTATCTGAGAAGCTGAGCAGACAGAATCTGCTAGTGGACTGGGTGGTGGAGTGCGAGGAAAAGAGTGCCTAATGTTAACACTGTGCAACTGTGGGACTGATGTGGCACCTATTAAATTGAGGACTGTAAGACGAACAAATAGATCTGAGATGCTGTTTTAGACAACTTAGATGCCTCACTCAACATCCATGTAGAGAAGAGGCCTCAAGTCAGCAGTAGCTGGGGAAGAGTCTAACTCGTGAATCTGTAAGTCATACTACACAAGTGGAACTTAACTTACCATGGAGTTGAGGTAGGGGAGCCATGGGGTTGGACGAGAACCCTTGGGAGTCAGGACAGATAGGAAAAGAGCTAGAGACAAGTCTCAGGCCATTCATTGTTTAGTGAAGAGGAAAAACAATAAGGACAATATAGTAAGTGAAAACCAGAAGTCATTTTTGTTACTATTTTGCAGTGCTGGGTAGGGGAATGAACCCAGGGTCTCATACATGTTAGTCATGGCTCCTACCACTGAGCTATGTCTGCAGCACTCAAAAACCATGTTTAAGGAAGGAGGGACAGCTCTGCAGTGCTACTGAGGTGGGAGAAGCTGCCTAAGAATTGGTCATTTCAGCAACAGATTCACTGCAGCAAAAAGGTGACACAAAATTGTTTCATGTCAGTCTGAGATAATAAGCCTGAGGAAGTAAAGCCAGAACATAGGTAACCCTTTGAAGGGTTACCAAATCCAAAGAGATCAGAGAGAGAAAGTGAGTCTCAGAAGTCTTTGTTAAGCTTTGCAATGGGAGGGATCCAGTGGAGAAGGGAATGTGTTCCCAATGAAGGGGAGAAGAGACTGACATGGAGTGTAAGTGGAGAGGCTGCACCTGAGTACTAGCTTATATAAGCAGGTAAGCTGGTAGATGTGGCCTTAACTGGTGACTCCTATTTTCTCAGGGATAAGAGTATCACCTGAAGGTGAAGAATGGGAATAATATATAAATATGGTATTAGGGTTGAAGAAGGCTGTCCAGGGAAAGGCAGGAAGATGGCTGAAAATACAACTGCTCCCTGAAGTTTTGTGGATGTGATTTTAACACTGACCCAGGACATGATTAGCACAGAAGCAGGTGGCAGCTCACCCGTGTCTGCAGTATCACTTGTTAGCTGGCACTCCTTCTGCCAATCCTTGGGTATGACAGACTCTGTGAGGCGAAGGAAGTCCTGCAGTGGGCAACGGTGAGAGCAGCCAGGCAGGATCAGAGGCCAGGGTGCCTTCTTACTGTCATTCCGAAAGTACATCTCAACTGAGAAATTCCTGGGAGTTGACAAGAGGCAAGATGGGAGATGCTCGCCATGCCCATAACTGAGAGTCTCTGGGCTGCCTTCAGCCATCTCAAGTGCCCCTTTAGCGGACACCCTACTAGTTCCACTTACCCATTATCCTCCTGATGAAGTTCAAATATGTGGCAGGAAGCATAGGGGGCTTGTTTCCCATTGTAGACATTCAGTGCCATTTGCAGAGCAACCAGGGTAGTATCATGCTGTAAGGGAGAGGTGCTGCCCATAGGACTGTTGCTTCTCTACATCCCCAGGAACTGAATCAGGGGAAAGTATTCAGTTCCTGGTTGGACACTTGAGTGTTGGGGGATTCGGAGCTTACCGCAGAGTAAACCAGAAGCTTAGGGAATTGAGAGGTGGTTGCCATTTGTGTCAGATTCTTCAGTATCTGAGCCAGCAGAACTCCTGAAGAAGAGAAATCCCAAGTGTCAGTGCCTTGAACCATTACTGATCTGCTTCTCTTATTATCTGATAGTCTTCATCTGATCACCAACCCAGAGGACTCTTCCAGTTCATGGAGACCATGCTGGAACACTACACCACCAACTGCTGAGAACTGTCAAGTTTACATAGGCCACAGATGAAGCAAGTTATTAATATTTATACTTGAGCTCAGAGGCCCTGACTTAACAGTATGAACACAGTGTAAACTTAAGACTTGTTCACAACACACAAGATGGTGGTTCATGCCAGAGCAACTGCTATATGCAGGCTCTGAAAACTACTACATTGTCAAAGGTTTGAGAACGTATACCCTTGAATGGTTAAATGAAGTACCCACACATAGACTGCCCTCAGCCTTTTCTCCAAGGACCTTAGCAATTCTCTGGAGGGAGGCATGCAATTAGGAAAGAGAGGGTCCTCTGACATGGATGTAACTCAAGAAAGAGCGCAGGCCAGGTATGGTACACACCTTTAATCCCGGCACTCAGGAGGCAAAGACAGGTGGGTCTCTGTGATTTGAGACCATGATGGTCTACATAGAGTTAAGCTGGCCTGGCCAAAGCTACATAGTGAGACCTGTGACTCAGGCTAAATGTCAGAGAACTGAAAGATCTGGGTGACTATTGGGAATGGCAAAGGGGAGAAAGAGTAGAGAATTATCTTAGGCAGAATAGTGTGTGAGAAGCTCCCACAGATTTTCAATGCTGGAGAGTTTTGGGGAGGGTAGTGACATGCTGTTTGTGTCACTCACCCCCCTGAAGCCGAGCCTTCTGTACTTGCTCGTGGATCCCGAAGAGGAAGAGGAAACTGAAGTCCTTTAGCTGGCTCAGACGCTGCACGGTTTGGGGTGAGGCCCAGGGCGGCAGGAGCAGCCCGTGTGTTTGCTGTGTATCGCAGCAGGCAGGTTAGCGCCCTAGGCCTAGGCCAGAGCCTCTCCAGGGGTGGCTTTCTTCCCCAAATGGGGAAGGTGCCTGTGTGTGTGAGGGAGGAAGAGGAGAGCAGAGGTGAGGCAGAGGAGCCATTGCAGACATGGCAGACAGAAGGGCATTGGAAAGGAACCTCGAGCGTGAGAAACAGACTCAGCAAAAAAAAATCTCACAGCACTGAGCTCTGGATGGAGAAGGGTACAGAATGCTGACAACCAGTAAACCATTTCCCACTTTGAGGTTCTTTTTACCCATGAGGGAAGTTCCCAGGTTACATAAGCACTGGCTTACTGGGCCTTCCCAGTGGGGATGGGAGTAGCCAAGC